TTGGTGATATCCATGTAATACAGCTTTTTATCCAGGACAGGAGCAACCTGGATTCAAACTCATGCCAGCAGGAGCCTTTCTACTTAAAACTGTATTTAACCTTTACTCACTAACAGCATGAAAAGTAAACTGACTGCTTCTAGAAGTTACCAAAAGGTAGTGTCCCAATAGACTCACACAAACACATGGTTTGTCTTTGATATTCTAAGAAAAATCCAGCTAAAAAATTAAATGGATTTTATATGACTAAACTTCAAAAAATGAAAAGTCACCATAATTGTAATTTCTATAGTCTGCTCTATTTTCCAGTATATGAGCATCTCTGACATCTGTCTGGTTAGTTGTACCTCAGTTTGTTGCCACTTGCTGAAATACATGCTATGTATTCTTACTTGTCTATCCATTTGCATCCAGACAGGACTGAGGAACTAATGACCCCAGGATAATTTATTTTACAATTTCAGAGTGAAGAATGAAATATCAGGAAGGTGCATTTGAGCGGAAGTCAGAGGAGGCAATGTAGGCTAAACCACTGAAAAAACCTTGACTGTGAAGACAAGACCACATGTGTATATCCAAGATAGTTCAGACAATGCGGATGCTCAGTTAGTCCCAGACATACTTTGGATCAGCTATGTTCTGGATCAGATGATCCAGACATTTCAGACTATCCTACATTTTCATATCATTTCAGCCATTTAAAACCTGTCCTTCTTTTTGGATCCACTTTAAATTTGTTGGCACTATGAAACTCCAAATTCCAATGATGCTTCTAGCATCAGTGCAATTGCTCCATAAGCTCCATAAGCTCCACAAGTAGCAGTTCTTGTCAAAATAATCCTGTCTTTTTAAGGCATGCTTTTGCTTTGTTTGTTATTGGGCATTGATTCTTCAGTGCCATGCAAGAAATTACCTGCAGTGATGTAATGGATTCCAATGGTTTGGAGACCAAGCAATTATCCAAACTATCTGCAAATTTTGACATGGAAAATTACAGTGTTTAAGACAGCTGAAAATAACTCACTGGATAGGTAACATTCTACCCCGCCTAAATTCAACAATAAACCAGAACAAAATAAAATCTAACCTCCTTTCCCAGAAAATTATACAGTACAAACTGATAACTGTGTTTTAGATCTACTACTCTAGTAGCTCTTTCAGAATGCCAAGATTAATAATTTTCAAGAGTAAGTTTGTAAGTGTAATGCTAGATCTTCACCTAGTATAAACTGTTGTAGCTCTGATAAAACCAAAAGAAACAGACTTTCTTGAAACTTTAAATATTGGGAGTGTCTTTCAGATCTGAAGTAACTTTATCTTGTGTGGAAACAGCTCAATGTCCAATTTGAAGCTTAATCAAGCAGTGCTTTACCTATCTTTTGGTATTAAAGCTTTTTTTTTAATACAAGATCTGTTTTCTGCATATTCAGTGATGGTTTGATGTTTGTGTGGTTCTAAATGCAAATTTGCAGCAGAAGGTAATTGAAAATTGGAAGATGTTCTTAGCTATTCTTTTTGCCTTTAACTGCATAACTGGCAGACAGTCAGCAGCTTCTCGGCACTTTGAAATGAAACACACACTGGCAAACTACTGCTAATTTTACTCTGTGGAATCCAAGGAAAGGAAAAAACAGGAAATTCAAATACAACTAGCAGCAAGGCTTTGAACCATTTGACTAATTTGCGAATATTTCAAATGCTTGGAACACACATGAACTACAAAAGGTCACAATTCCATGAAAAAAAGCAACCCAAACAAGAACAATTTCCTGGTTTGGGATTTCTCAACCAAATACAATTGCGAATGCAATGTCTTCCCATGACCCTTTACAGTCACCATGGACATTATGTTCTTTTCTATTTTTAGGATAAGTAACATGAGGAGAGGGAGATTCAATTAATACATCTGTTTGGTAGTTTTAGATACCCTGCTTTTTGAAAGTGTTTTTTATTAACATATAAGTTCTTTTGCTGGGAAGGGAACTCATTTTAATATGTTTAAATCCCCCTTTAAATAAGGGGGAACAAAAAAAAAAACCCACATGAAAATGATGTATTTTCCTCAGCAGTTTCATAGGGGATCATTCCATGCAAAAACTGGATAGCTAGGAAATCCAGGCAGTCCAAGTTCTCTGGCTCTGCACGTAGTCAAAACTTGAGTAAGTAACTGAGAACCAACTCTGGTTTCACAGCGCACTGCATTTTCACTGAAAACATCTTGCTGGCTGGCTGAAGTCTTCAGGGAAACAGTAACGCAAAACGTTTGAAATTAGATAGGGTTAATAAAAAGATAAAATGCAATGATCAGGAATGGTGAAGCTATGGTATAAAGGAATATTTAAATACTGCCTCACAGACCAACTCCAGACTAACTGGGACTTGGACTAGATGTAGGGAGTTGGACTAGAGGATCTCTATGGTCCCTTCCAACTCTAAAAATTCAGTGAAATTCAGTGAAACTTAGGGCATATGAACAGTCTCCTTGAATTGATGGACTGCTCATACGCTAAGCACCAAACAAATACTTCAAATTTCGACTATGCAGCGTGCTAAAGGAATGCTTTATTTAAAAAAAAAAAAGTCTTCTGAACCTGTATTTTTTGTTAAAATATTCAAATTTGTATGTGGGTAACAAAATCTGTAGGAGTGACCAACATCTTTTTACACTGGATAGTCAGGGCACTGTGCCATGAATGGTGTCTAAATCCTCATTGCTCCTACGTTTGGCACTAATACTCGCTTTTGGCTTTAGATTCTTGTCTTCAGTTTCTTTACCTCAACTTCTTTAAAATAGGTCACCTCCTGAGGGCATACGAACAGTCTCCTTGAATTGATGGACTGCTCATACGCTAAGCACCAAACAAATACTTCAAATTTCGACTATGCAGCGTGCTAAAGGAATGCTTTATTTAAAAAAAAAAAAAGTCTTCTGAAGCTGTATTTTTTGTTAAAATATTCAAATTTGTATGTGGGTAACAAAATCTGTAGGAGTGACCAACATCTTTTTACACTGGATAGTCAGGGCACTGTGCCATGAATGGTGTCTAAATCCTCATTGCTCCTACGTTTGGCACTAATACTCGCTTTTGGCTTTAGATTCTTGTCTTCAGTTTCTTTACCTCAACTTCTTTAAAATAGGTCACCTCCTGATCTCGATCAACTGTGAAAGATTGTAAAGAGATAGCGTATCTTCACATAACATACCATAAATGCAGAACATTAATTTACTGAATTTGAAATGAGTGTTATTGATAAATGGAGGATATAAAAGGATTAGGCAAAAAAGAAGACTCAGGAAGCAGGCTGTTACTTGTGAAGTATATGGAAGGTTTTCAAAACAAGGAGAGTAGCATGGAAATGCATGCTCAGATGCTGGCGTTGTGTGGGCTCTGGATGGATAACATCATGCTTCCCTGAGCCTGTGAGAAGGTAGAAAACAGATGGCTCATGTATTTGGTAGCTCAAAAGGCTGGGGTACAGGCAATTGAGAAGGGGAGAATCAGCGGAAAAGAGATGAAGAAGCTGTTCAACTTTAGTGAAAAGTGTTTCTCTTCTCCCTAGTGTATTACCATAAAACAAGAACCACACAGAAATTTCCTGGGCAGCAGAACTCTGTTTCTACTCCTGTATCTACAAGCAGAGGCTCCCATTCACTCCGTGGAGTGAAGGACATATCTTTTCACTGCTATATTGATTTCTTATTCTGTTTAACAGCATTTTCATTAAAGATTAGTGATCTAGAATCATGGTGCTAAGTAGAGGCACTTTGAATTTGAGAAACCAGATAGGCCTCTTTTAATAATATCACAGGCTGCTGCTTCCTAACATAATATTTGAGCTGTGGTATAGGCAGTGGCACTGGCACTGGCACAGAGTCCTTACAACCAGGAACAGGAGAAAGGTCCTAAGGGCAAGCTACCACTTTGCAAGCCATCCCTCTGCCATACTTATGGTGTACATGCCTTTTTTAGAGGTGGAATTCCTTGTCAAGGATATAATCAAGACTCATTTTGCCTTCATGCAGTATTCTCAGGAACAACATTTTAGATCATTTATTAAAAATCATCCTGCTTCAGCATGATGGTCACAGTTTTTAGGTTAGAGGAACAACCTTTTCCAGGCTTCATGGCACAGTTCAGTACATGCCCCCTCTACCTTTCACTGCCTTTGGACCGAATACAAAACAGCAGCTGTCTCCTGCAGTCTCCTGGTACAGGCAAATCCCTCAAAAGACAACTGCAATAATTGCACACTGCATTACTGTAGATCCCACCACTCACCTGAATTATCCTGAAACTCAAATAGTTGCCAAATTAAATGATCTGTGGGGCATCTCATCTAGTTTTCTAATGTTGTCCAGGTGCCTACGGCATTCATTCTTGAATAATCAAAATGTCAAGGGATGCTTTACAAGCCGCTGAACCATTCTCTAGGTGATATACTACGCTGATGCACAGCTCCCCAGTCAATTTGTTAGGTATGGTTCACTGAACTACCCCCAGTCAAGGCGCCCATAAATGCATGTGTAATGATTTTAGAAAGACTCAGTACTTTTTGGGAAAATAGTTACGATCACGTTAGTGAAGAAAACCAACACATCAGGAGATGAAATGTCATCACCCAGAGCAAGTCAAGTATCTGTCAAATATTTCCATACCTGTAAAATTGGAATAATTTTTCTCATGTTATTCCTGTCTGTCATTACCACAGGCTACTCAGGACCGGAGCTATCTCCCTTTGTGTATTTTCAACTCACAGTGAGATCTCAGTTTGGGCAAAGATCTCTTGGCATCACTCTAAGATAGGACACAATAATAGTGGTAGATCTGATCAGGAGCCTAGAAAATTAGGCTTAATCACAGTTTTCAAAGTTAAAATCTCACTCCAGCTCTGCTAAGCTCCTGCAGAGGTTTGAGCTTTGGAAAGACTGCATTTTTCCTTGCCAGCAAACAACTCGCTCACTCTAAGTGATTAAGTGTTTTCCCATCCTGTCTTTCCAGCAAAAGTGCATGAGTTGCAGCTCGGTTGGTACATTAAGAAGAGGAATGATGGATATTTCACCAGTCACTGTAAGTTTTTTTTCACTGTACTTTCCTCACTTGGGTAGTCTCAGGGAGTACACATGATTCAATTTAAAAGCTCCTCAACTGCTAAATGAAGCCAAGTTGACTATGCTAATGCTTTATATTTCCATAGTGATCTCCATGCAAGCATTACAGGCAATTTGGGAAAAACCATGAATTAACTTCTTTATCAGGTCAGTGTTGTTATCACCATTCTTCAGCTGGGGAGAGAGGACAGTGAGTGAAAGTGATTGCCAGATGCCTTAGAGCATGTCTTCCCTGTGCACTGGAGAATGGCACAGGTTCTCCACACTAGCAGTGACAAAGCTTCCAGGGTCAGACACAGTGACTGATGCAGCATATAGAAAAGGATGGTTTAGACCACACTATTATCCAAACATCCTTCCACCTTTGCTCCATGGATCTAATTAGCCATTAGCTCACTCAGTGTTAAATTCTGCTCTCCTGGAAGAATGAATGAGCGTATGAGCCCTGTAGGGGAAGAGAATCCCTTTCTCACCCCCTGGTGACAATGCTACATAAATCTCAGATCTATAGCAGGCTTAGTGGCTTTGCATTCCTTAGCTGAAATAGTGAAACACTACAATTGTGGTGGGGTCCCAACTTCTCTCTTGCCCCCTTCATTATAAATTTCCCCTGAGACTTTTTGTAACTCTCTTAATTTCAGCAATACAACCTTGAACAAGGACCGGTCAATTGATACATACAGGATTTTTACATGAACGTCAACAATAGACTAGCTCAAGGCAGAAGAATCATTAAGTGTATTCATAATAAGCCATCTAATAAGTCAGCAGACAAAAAGTAATCTGAATAGTCCTGACATCCTAGAGCAGCATTACTCTTCCTTGCAGTATTTTTAATGTTTTCATCTGGATGATGTAATAATTTCTAAAAGCTCAAATTAATTCTCTTATAAGCAAACATAATCAGCCATAAAAGCAGCTTGTTCCAGTGCCTGGGAACAGCCTTTGAAGGTCTGTAGTATGACTATTTAATGGTCTGGTAAGAGTTTTAAAGATGTATTTTTTCTTTTACCCCCTCAAGCAATTATTCATTTTTTCCCTAGTGGCTTATGGGTAATGATAGACAAGTTAATGTACAAATTTTTCTTTCAGAAAAGTCCCCTTAACAAAGGATTTACTGCCATGTAATTCTTGAAACATTTTCAGTGATTTAATCTCTTTGAAGGACTTGGGAACTGCATAGATGAGTTCAGCTGTACATGAGTGAGCAGGCCCAAGCACCAACCTAAACATGAAAGACTTGGAAAATACAAATTTGTATCTTCCTCTGTCAGCTTGGTGTCAGCGGAAGTACCTGTGATTAGCTAGGCCTGTCTATGCTGCCCAGAAAGTCTATTTTTTCTGTGGAACAGAAATGGTACAAGTGACATTGGTATGTAGCCAAACTGGCTCAGGAGGACAACGCATTTTATCCTTGACTGAGACAGCTAAAAAGTAAAAATAATGGAGTCTTGCAGTAGTTTTTCAAGTGGATGTTTGCCAATTCCCAAACAGCTTGAGATTGCAACCTTTTTAATTCAGATCCCCAGGAAGCCTTCTTATAGCTCTAACTGGATACAAACTCTGACAGTTCAGTGATACTCTCCTGCTTCCCGCATACCAGAGCGATGCGTGTGGTGATAAGGTAGAAAATAAAAGCAATGCGACCACAAGGAAGAAGGTAACAAAAAGAGGATAAAAAAAGTACCCAAAGCTTTCCAAGTACATCTCTTTCAGCAGAAATTAGCATATGCAGGGAACTCAGAGGTCACAGGGATATTTACCGGTTGCTGGACAGCCTGGCTAAGAGGGGTTCCAGCCAGCCCTTCTGACACTCGCAGTGTGAATCCATGAAGACCAGCACATCCCCAGTTGCCCGTGCAGCTCCCAGCATCCGACCTCGGATGACTCCAAGCCTCTTGTTGCTCCGGATAAGCTTCACACCATCCAGCTTAGAGATGTATTCACTCAGAGCTGACTTTAGGGGCCCTGTCAAAAACAGAGTGGCCACTTTGATTCAAGCTGTAACAGAAAAGCAATAGGTAGTAGGAGATGCTACTTCTTGCTGGTAAAATGGCTTAGAGGCATTTGTTTTACATGGCCAGGTAGGCCATGTTCCAAATATTCCCACAACAGCATAATATCAAAGAGAAGTAGAGACTAATGGAAACTGAGATTCACTAGGTGTCAAGATATTCCTGTGAGAAATTTTATAGCCTCCCCTCCTGTTTTCAGCAAAAGGTGGATGCTCTCATCATCTCATAAAAGGCGCAGATCAGAGTGAGATACTACAGGTGTTTGGCTTTCCCAAGCACTTTGGATTACTTTAGCAATGTGCAGTTTTCCACTCTATGCTTCAGCCAAAGTCCAAGTCTGGAAATTATTACAGCAGATCTGATCCAGTGGGAAGGCTAGGATTTGCATACTATGATCTTATTTTAAAGTAAGAACGTTCTGAGTGATTGGAAATGATGGGGAAAAAAGAAACATTTCAAAGTTGAAAGGCAAAGCTGAATTCTAGGGATGGAAGAGTGAAACCTGGCAGTCAGCTCAGGACTCTGCTTAGCTCTCTTCCTTAGGTACCTCTTTCTCTTCTATTCTCCTCACGCACGTCTTGGAGGAAGGACAGTTTCTTCCCTGAAGCTTTGAAAGAATGAACTCAAATACAGAAAGATGGGGACTACCTTGCTGGCTGAGGTCATCGACTAGGATGATATCCTTGAGGGAGGCCTTCGGGGCTGTGTCCATAATGCTGTGCACGGTTCTCAGCAGGGTACACCAGGCTTCGTCATGGAAACAGATGATGACACTAGCAGTGGGCAGACTGGAGTCATACTCTTGCTGTAGGCACCTGCATGGGATAAAACAAGGGAGACGCTAGAAACACTGGTACAACTGGCTGCTTGTCTCTCAGAGCAAAGTTGTAAACTACACCTAAACCTTCAGGGTTGGAAACAGTTTAAAAACGGCTCACTTCTAACAAAGCAAAGGAAGTATTAAGGTGCCCAAGACTGGAATACAAAGTGAAAATACAGGAATGACCTGTTAATTATAAAAATTAAAATGCAAAAGTAGGAATGTTTTGCTGTATTCTGGGATACTTTCTTCTGCTCTGGCTGCCTGAAAATACACTGCTCAACAGAAACGGTCCAGAAGGCAAAGAAAGAGAAACTGAAGACTATTAGAGCAAAGCAGAGAGGGGAATAAAGCAGGTCACTCAGCCTCCACCAATTACCACATTTTCTCAAGTAACACAGAAAAGAGTAAACTAAAATGCAGTACCTTTAAGACTAACAAGTAAAATAACTCATGTGCACCACAGACCAGTACACCTGTGGACTGCCTGACCAGTGAATGAAGCTAACATCTCAGTCCTATATTGGAAAAAAATGGATCCTTATATGGGCAATGAAAACAAATGCAGACACATTTAAGAAAGTAAATGTATTTTCCCTATAAAGCTTATACAGGTTGTTTTTTCTTGATGAAAAATAATAATTGATGAATAAGGCTCTCAGTTGGGTAGATTATGCCATTTTCTGCTATTTACTTTACAACTTCAGGTACTGATACAATCTACTGCAAGACACCTGGCTGCATGGGTCACTGCATTCTTGAGATGGTCCAGAGTGCCAGCTGAGGCCCACAGCTCCTCAGTTTTTTATGGGACCAAGACTTCACTCATGGCATTGAAAAAAAATTTCAGCAACATTACTGGGTATTAGATGTTGCTTTGACAGCTCAAGTGTTTAAGAATGAAAAACACTTCCTATTCATCCTCGCAGAAATTGTATATGAAAACTATAAACCCTCATCAAACAATGGCTGTTTCATAAATGTAAGCAAAGGATCTACAAACTTCATTCACAAGAAAAAGTGTTTTCTGATGTACCAGTCTTGGTTCAGACAGGTCATCCTATACTGGCATGATGATGCACATTTTCCAGAAAAGACCTTCAAATACTCATTGTAGAGATGCAAAGACCACGACTATATATCTGCTTTGCTTACATCAGGAAACACATTTTAAAATATTTTCATTTCCTGAGGAGCAGTCATTTAGTTTCCGAACTCATTTAATCTCCAGCATCAAGAACTTCTTCAAGGAATTACAGAACTGGCTGAATGTGGCCTACTGTTATTTCAGCATTTTCGTATTGCCGAGCACATCGTCATACAGATTTTATGGTGGTTGTTAAACAATTACTCAGTGAAGCTTATATAGGGGTTATCATTTTAATACTGTTATATTTATTACTGCTTTACTTAGTGCTTCTATTCATGGATGGAGGCCCTACGATGCTAGACACTATCCAGACACAAAGTTGCTTATCATTTAAGAGAATCCATAGTCTGAATGATTGAATAACAAATAGAAATAAACAAATACTAGGTACACTTCTGGGAATATAAATTTTAAATACACACAATTATAATAATTTACTATAGTTTAATTAAAAGTTATAATATTTCACATTTCTATATTTTTGTATAGAGAGGCAAATTTTCTTGATGATTTCTACATTGTAATGAATCTATATTGTCCTTGGTTTACTAATTTTCTGTAATCAACAATGCTGTTATCTCACAATTTCATATAGGATCATTGTTTCCATTTTCATCTGGATGGAGAAAAGGATACTCTCACGACTTGTCATTATCAGGCAGAAGAATCTAGAGGTGATTAAGAAAAGTGAAGAGCTGATGTAGTCCTTTTACTGCCAGGCAGTTTCCAACCAGGAACATTCAGTACAGCTATAAGCACCTATATTTTGCACCATAATACTACAACGCCTTGTTGCTAGTACTGTGGTTATAGCAAGAAAATAAAGCTGTTGTGGAATCTTAATTGGAAAAGAATTGAAAATAACTGTACTTGAATACATAACCTAGGTGGCGAGTGTTTAGTTGCCATGGAGATTAGCAAAGACTTGCAATATAGATATCTAATCTTCAGAAAAATGTGAAAGGGTACTGGTGTACAGAAATATCTTCCCTGTAATTTGGAGCAGTTTCATGGACTGTCCATCATAAATTGGCATTTCAAAAAGTCAGAGCTGTGACTCATATGAGACATAGTGATTTAATCCAATTTGTGAAAAATAAGGAATCGTGACAACCAGCAATGAACAGGAGAGCAATTCTGACACGGCAAAGGCACTGCTGGTGGGGACTCCCACCCACCTTCAGGAAAACATCTCGCCAAGACTCAGCTCCCAACAGCACTGAAGTGGAAGCTATGGTTTTGCAATCAAACTTAAAACCTTTTTAGAGAGCTTGTGAGTTTCTGTTTTCCTGGATGTGTTTGACACTCAAGCCCAAGAGAGGAAAACAGACTTTTTCACAGACAGAACCCCATCACAAAAATCATAATGGCAGACTTGATTTGGGTCCACTGAACCAGGAGCTGAACGGCAGCTGGACCAACTGATAGCAGCAAAAAGCCCTCTGAGGTTTTACTGTGGAAAAACAACTTCCTAGTACTGGACAAGTTATTAGGCCCTTTCACCTAGAGATCCGGACTGTTTCCAAACTGATACTCAAAGTAAATGAGTGAAAAAAAACAGTAGGCGAAACAAGGTACCTGATTCATCCATCAGGGCATGTTTTACTGTGGGATCAGCAGCAGTGCTGGAAGAGACACAGTTTTATGCATCTACTTTCTGAAAATTAGGATAAACATTCCCCTGAAAGGCATGCAAAGAGATGTGGGTTATGTTAGAAGCTGGAGTTGGGTGAGAGAGGTCTGAAGTACCGCTTTCCAGGTGAGAAAGCTGGATGCTGGGCTCTGAAGGCACAGCAGAGCCCACAGGCTCTGGTTTATTTCTAGCACAGCTCTGTATTCTTCACATAAGAAGAAACTGTAGTTGTGCTGCTCATTGTTCCAATGCAAAGTACAACAGCCCTCTTTATGTGATTTTCTAAGGAACAGCAGTGAAGTATATCTTAATGCATTTACCTTACATCTTCCACTATGGTTTAAGGGTAAACCTGAAGTATGCAAATGTGAATTTTGGCCAGCCTTATTTTATAGTATCTGGAATTGCTTTACAATTAGCAGGCGTAGCTTCTGGTGTGAAGAACTTCACATCTAATGTCAAGTTTAATGAGACTGAGTCTGTGGAGCTAACTCACTGAAATGTCTCTAACTGGTTGCTTTCTCTCTGACTAAATAATAACAGACATTATTAGAAACAACATGAGTCAAACAGAATAGAGTAATCGACAATTTAATTCATTACTGGTTTGCTCTCATTTTACACCAGTATAAAACTGGACTGACAGAGTTGTGAGCCAGGCCCGCAGAGTAAATTACACTTAAAAAATATTGTTGTGGTTTGTGTGTTGTGCCATAAAGGACAGGACAGGCTTAGAGGCAGACCTCTGCTGCAGGTTTATGATCTGGATTTAGATCTGAACAACTGCAAAACCTCAGATGTTCAGATCTATGTTTTCAGTCTGGGCTCTACAAGCTGTGGTGTTGATAGCTCTTTAGGCTGTAACTAGTCAGACAGGAAAATGCATCCAACAGCTCTGAGGCCATGGCTTAAATCTTACCAAGATTAGTACTAACTAAGCCTGTCTCTTGTTGTATGGCCCTTCAACTGCCAAAATAAAACTGTTTTTTGGCTGACATCACAGGCAGTAAAACAGGAATCATCATTCCTCCTTTGAACATTACATGGTTCAAAGAGCTGCCAGTGAAGCATTGTGAAAAATAACTGAAATAGTATTAGCATTTCATTATGCAATGGAATTACCCAAATTAACACTGAACCTAGCCAGCAAGTGTAGAAAACAGTTTCATTTCTCCTTCTTTAAGATTGTCCCCTTAAATTAGAGCCACCAGCTCTCTTTAAACATGTGAAAACAACCACTAAAAAAATACATATTTTCTGTGTCTTACTTAAAATGCTTTCTGGTGCATCTTTCCACTGTGTCCTGGGGGAAAGCGACAATAGCTTTTGTTACAGGAGGTAAGACAAAAAGTTACCCATTCACATCCCTTTCCCTCTCCCCTGGACAGCCATGGATACACCTCAGCGCCTTTTTAAGAAGCGTCATAAACTGTCCCTGCTGGGCTGTTGGAGTGACGGGATCGCAAGCCTCCAGGCAACATGTGGGGCTTCAAATGTAACATACGGGGCTTCAAATGCAGCGCTTGCCCACTGTGGCCTTACAGCCCGGCTGCTGGTGGCCACAGAGCTGCTGGCAGATCTGGTCAGACACCCTGACCTCCACCTTCCTTCCACACAGGAGTCTCCTTTCAACATCTGTTGGGTTACCTGTTACACTGAAAAAGCTGAAAGCCCCAACTCCTGAGTCTTTTACCACCCCATAAGCCCAGCAGCCCTGTCAGAAACCCACCATGAAGGGACGGCTGGGGCCTTGGAGTCAGGTGGGCTGGGGATGGGCCTGGCCGAGCCGAAGCTGCTGCCGCCGCCTTTCCCGCTCGACAACCCTTCACGCCCCTGGCACCCAGGCCCCGTTGGCCGTGCGGGTTCCCTTTCCAGCCCCAGCAGGCAGACAGACAGACCGACAGACAGACAACCGGTAGGGGACCGCGGGGGCAGCGACACACGCCGCCCTCCCCTGCCGCCGCCCGGCACCTGCTGCGGGCGGGGGGGAGCCGCGGCCGCCGGCAGGGGGCGC